TGTCCTCTATAATCTAGAGCTGCGTGTGTACACTTAAGGAATTACACGTTTGTGTTCGCCACACTGGAGAATGTGAATATTGATGTCATTACCTCCAAGGCCTTGCGCTTATTAACATTAATGCATCACAGTATACTATTAGGGTTGGCTATATTTGATCACCTTTAAGTTAATAGTATTTTAAAGTAAAGGAGAATCAAACACATAAACTATACTCAGATGTGCTAAAAATTATTTGCGTTATTAATTTTTTCAGTAGCTGTTCTCATCTCTCTCTGAAGCCCCCATTCCCATGGTGGGGAAAGGGGTTTGATGACAAAGAGAAACTTCAGCAAGTCAGTTATAAAGATAATCCCATCTATTCGAGCTCCATGATATCATTAGATAAATAACAACCCCTTAGGGCTTCCCCTTCCTTCTTGTTCCCTAAAGCATTTGGATTAATGACTTTCAGCTTCAGACTGGGAGGGTATTCCTGTCCCTCTCTTTGGTAGGCTGTGTTTGCTTAGAGACGAGGAGTACAGAGACTTGTGCAATGTTGGGGCTGGCAGTGGCGTGTGCTAATACTTTCTGCTCAGACTCTGCCATCAATTATTATGTACGTATAATAGCAGCAGTTGCCTCATATATGTAAAGAGCATTTAAAGTTTAGAAACAAGCCAGCTTTTTTTCTCTCTACAAAGCATGACTTCAAGGCTCCAAAACATTAGCTTTGGGCTTTGAAGCCGACTGAAGACATTTTAGTTTTAGGCTGTGTTCTCCTCTGCTAGAGCAATAAGACAAATGTTTTTGGTCTTAATAACCAAATGGGGTTCAGTGAAAGAAATGTGCTTAAGGATGAGAAGATGCCCTAACAGGTAGCTCAATGTAGACAATGTTACTTAGCATAGCAGGTAAGAGGTTATGTTTTCAAGTTAGATAAAGCTGGGTAGAAATCCCAGTTACCTCATTTATTAACTTTGTCATCTTAAGAATGTTATGTGTGACATACCTGAGCCTTGGTTTCCTCATCTAGAAAACAGGAAACTAAGTTAAATTAGTTAATATTTGTAAAGCATTGTATGCTTTACACATAGCAATTACGTAAGTAAGTGGTGGTTGTTAAGTGGACTTCCGAATTCTTTTGCAAAGGAAAAAAAATGAACATGACATTGAATGGGAAGCTAGTATTGTTTGGGCTCGTACATATGGATATTTCAAGGTCCAAGGAAAGAAACAAGTACTGGATATTCCCTGAGGTAGAATTCCTTATAAGGACACATGAACTAAAGGAAAAAGGGTGATAGGGAGAGAGTGAGAAGACCAGGTGTCACAATAGCCTAGTGAGATCTGGCTGGTGGGAGTCTGACTGAGTCTAGTGTCTGTAGTCTAACGATCCTAGCTAACGGCAATACATGTTCAACATTAGTTTGCTCTAGTTCGTCTGTATTGCTAGTAAAGCCAAGTATAGGAACAGAGTAACATTGAGCTGATTAATGTTATTTAATGAACAAATGAGAGGTGTTGAGGTGATCTTGGTTTCCCCCTATTTTCACTCAGGTGGTGAATGGAAAGCTCGTTATGAGATTCAACTTGAACTGAATGATCAACTAGAAAAGCAAATTGTTTCTCTTAAAGACAAAATAGAAAAGATCCGTGGAAATCCTTCAGGTACAGAAACTATATAGATATGTGTGTTTCCTAAGTTGGGTTAAAACTGATAAAATATTAATGCTCATTTTGCTTTATTGTAGATAGACTGTCTTCCATTCGTGTCTATGAACGAATGTCAGTGGTAAGTAAAAGATGGTTAAATAAAAGTATTCTGTTCAGTGGAGCTGTTCCTAGAATGT